TCATCATCATCCTCATGCCACAGAGTCTGAAGAAGTCTCTGTCACGCTCCCCAACCCAATCAGAAAGATACCACCCTCAACTCAGCCCCCGGACACCCAAAACCGACCGAGAAGAACGAGCTCGATGGGGAGGGGTCGACGGAGAAGTGTCTGTTCAGGTTCAACCGAATATACGATATCCAACGACACCTCAACTCCCATCATTCATTGACCGTCGACCGCGAGACGTTGAAAGACTTCTTTGGGGTCCCTTGAGTCGTCTCTGCCTCCCACCCATCACGCTTCATTGGGTCTCGATCAATTCACCAGGCAGACCCCACTTGCTTATTTTATTTTATTTTTATCGAGTTTATGTGATTTCCTTGTGAACATTCTGTATGTATCTGTTGATGGGGTCAATTAATTAACACTATAAATAATATTCAACACTAATATCATGTGGTGATCAATGACAAGGATCCTCCTGAGTAGACCTAGTGATCATCGGACCCAGATCTGTGCAGTTCTCAGACACCGTCTGGGAGACTGGTTCTACTATATAGACTGGTTGGCAACTGTTTCTCTGGACAGTTTCGAAGGATTGTTTCATCAACACTGTCTATCATCGGCACAACCGTCTGACTCATCTGTGATGTACCAGTGGCATCAACTTATGGTAGGAGCAAGTCTTACATAGAGTCTGGGTGTAAGACAAGGTCTCAGAGAAATCACGTTGTTCTTCAAATCAACAGAGCAGGAGGTTCAACCTTATGGGCGAATCACCATCAAAACAAAACAAGAAAAAATGCAATTTTATCTTTTTGGTGACATTTGAATCATGGGGATGAAACTATTGATGTTTCTCTCAGAAAGGATAATCATCTGCATTCCTTTTCTCAGACAGTCTGATAGTGGAGTTGGGCAGTCAACTCTGGTTCTGAATGGGATGGAGGATGTTTGGATCTACAAGGAACTTTGGAGTCTATAGATGTAAGGGATGTTTTGATATAGAAAGCGCTACGGTGACTAAGGACAGTAGATAAGAATGATGAAGCTTGTTTCGATCTATGGGGAGAGCTGCACTTGTAGTGGGGAAGTGTTTGATAGATACATAGCTAGTGTGACAAATAACGGAAATTTGCTTACAGTGAAGGTTCTAAATGAAACCGTTTTTTTTACTTTTCAGGATCTGCTTTGAAGTTCAACTTCTGTGAACAATGAGATGAGGAGGTTGATATTCAGAAACATGAGTTTGAATGTTTGTGTGAGAAAGTTCATCTCCAGTTCTCAAGAAAGTTGACTAAGCCAAGATTGAGCAAACTCCCTTTGCTCCAAAGTGATCTTGACTTCTGAAGGGAAAGAATCCCAGACTGCTTCCCAATTTGTATGGCCATCCTTGCTGCCGGTATTTCTGTCTTGGAAAAACTTGATCAAGACCATCATTTGTTCATCAAGACCATTGATTTTCACTGTCAATCTGTATGCAACATTCTCGTTGATGAGCTTTGAAATGATCCCATAGTCAAAATTCTCTTTGGCTTGAAGTTTGAGAGTCTGGATGTGATTGAGCAATTCCTCATCTCTGAAGATGTTGGAAGCTGTATCACATAAGCTGTTCAGTTTTTGATCATACTCTTCTTTGAATGTTCGCCTCAACCAAGCCCTGTCAGGAGATTCATACCAGGTAATGTCATCAATATACCAGCTTGAAATGAGGGTATCAAGAATCATGAGGTGATTCAAAATTTCATCTTTGCCACACAGTTCAAACCTCTTGTTTTGGCCCAAACCAAGCCAATGAATTAAATGAGATATGTTCCAGACATTGACTCCGTTTGAACGTTCTGCTTCCTTCAGGTCTCTGAACACGCTTTCTGACAATTCCCACTTAGGAGGCTTAGTTTCCAAGTAATCCTTATGACCCCTTTGTCTCCGGTGATATTCTACATAGCCTATCATCGAGACATAGAGGGAAAGGGCACTCTGTCCAATCTTCCTTAATTTCTTGCAATCTGGCTCTTTTCCTGAGAAATACATCTCTGACCAAACAAACACATCCGGGAACTCGGCTTTCAGTTGAAAAAAACTTTCAAATTTCTTCAGAAACGTAGGTGTGAGTTCCTTCCTTTCAATCAAACTTTTTTTAATTAGCCCCCAATTCTCAACAATAGTCTTTTGGGCTATTTGGGTTGTAAATGTTATGATTCTCCTGTGGAGTTCGTATTGATCTATTGCAGTATTAACAACAGCACATCTTTCAAGTTCAGCAACAACCAAGTCTGGATGTAAGTTCCACAAAAACTTGATTGCAATGTAGTTTTCATTGCTCAATTGGCCAAGGGGAAGATGATTTTGATTCTTTGAGAGTTGCAACTGGGTCTCAAAGATTTGGAAGGCAAGCTGGGAGCAGTTTTCTCTCAGGGAGAGACTCTTCTTGGCCTTGGAGATCCCTCTTTCAGAAGTTGCTCTTTTTTGCAAATACTCAAAGATCTTCTGTAATAAAGGCTGTGATGTATGCACCACATCACTCCACATACCCTTGATAACTCCAGGAAATATTTCACCAGGATTTGTTGATGGAAAGGGTTGGATAGCCATCCTGATTCTTTCTGCATGTTTCTTCTGCATTTCAATTGTTGCCTTTCTGTGACTAGTTGAAAGCAATTCAATGTTATTTGTGATACTTTTGCCTGGATCATAGTCTGTTTTTGAGCTTTTCTCAGAGTTTCCAAACTCAAAGTGGAATTCCAATTTGGCAGTAGCAGAATTCACAACATCCTCCAACTTTCCTTGATAAGGACCTTTTGAACTGCATTTTTTCAAAAGCTGATTTCTGTTTAATGTGCTTGATCTATCACATCCAATTGGGGATGCTGAACTGAAGTAAAAAGGAACCAAAATCTGAAATGAGTTAACAGAAAAACAAATTAGGAAATCAGGAAGCAAGCTAACCACAGCCTTTCTTTTCCTGCTGAAGCATCTCTATCAGTGGGCAACAATAACACATCTTCCTTTCCAATTTTTGTTGCACCCTTATCCAATTTCAACTCTGCAATTTCTACTGTGCAAAATTCATCAAGCCTGCAAGAAAAATTGCCATATAAGTACTTCAGCTTGAAGATTTGGGATGGATCAATTGATTGGCTCACACCCTTCCTTTCTCCATTTTGGTATTCTTGGCCCTGGATGTGCTTTCCTTTGCATCACTTACATTGAATTTTATTGCAGGTGTTTCTTGAATTTCATCTGTATGCTTTTCATGGAATTTTGCCACATTATTACCAGAAAGGATTGCCTGTGGTACTACACAATCCTTCAGACAAGGATCTTTATCGTGGAATTGACATTCATCTTGATGCAAAATTCTTCCTGATTTGCTCAAATGAGAATTGTGACCAGTTTTGCTTTGGCTGAGACTCACTTCTGCAGAGAGACTTTCACATTCATCCTCTAAATTAGAAGAGTCTACTAAGAGATTTTCTTGATTAGTCAAAGCAGAAATCTTGGAATTCAGGCTACTAACTGAGATAGTGCCATTTTGTGAAAGCAAGGTGATTGATAATATCACCAAAGCTTGAAATTTATTGCTTAGCATGGCTGACATGAATCTCTCACCTCAAGTAGAATTGAAAATTAATGTTTTGAGGATGTTAGGATTGACCTGCAACTTTCTCCTGGACCAGTGGAGCACCACCACCAATCACACATGAAGGAGTGTCTCATCTGTGTTTGAGATCTTAGAAGTATCTCATGAACTGAACAGATAATATGCATCTGAATCAAATCTCTCTTGGAACTATCAAACACTGATCAATCAAATTATAGGGGCTGTCTACTTGGCCCTCAATTCTAAACTGGCCACATTTGATTTGAATCAAATATTCTTAAACTCCTTTCTTGAAATCAGATGTTTCAATAACATATTTAACATAGACATTTTTTCAAAAGCAAAATTCACTCAATAGGGGGTATCAAATAAGGAAAATCCACCATCAGAAACCAGTAACTTTTCCAAAAACTTTTTTTGCATAAATGGTCCCCAAAAGGGGTTAAATGGATAACCAACATGTTTAAAAAAGGGTGGATTTTTTCAAACCAGTCAATTAAATAATGGTGGATTTGGTTATATTTGATACCCCCTAAATAAGTCAATTTTTTCTTGAAATTCAGCTCAGGACCTACAGGTAAACTACTGTCCATGAGGGTTACACATTTCAGAGACTATTCAGGTTCCAAATTGGCCGGGTTTGGGTCAAAGAATGGTGACCAAACCCGCCCCGCTGAATTCTCGGGGCAAAAATGGCAAAATGTTGACCAAACCCAGCCCAAATACACAGTGCCTCAGGTCGGTTCTTGTGTTGGTTCTGGGTCAACCCAGCAAATGATCAGTTAATTCCTTTCAATCAGGTCAGTCAATCAATATCAAGCCGACCCAAATACAATCTGTCCTGATCATACCCGCCCCACCAACCCGTTGGGTTGAATCCGCGTCAGGTCAATTTCCAACCCTAGCCTGCTCAAACCCACCCGGTGACCCAGCGGGTTGACCCAACTCACTTGGATCCTGAGAGACTATTCCAATTTTTGAGCACCTCTGCTCTCAAAAGTGTGTCATTGGTTCCCTGATGTAATTAAAACAACCTCAATAATGCTGAGACATGTCAGAGTGCTGCCTTTATAACCAACTGTGGCTGCTCAGGTAGCTGGGTGATAGTGCATATGGTTCACTCCAACCACCATAATGGCCACAAGCCATCAGACAACTTGAAATCCTTGGCACACTCAAATTATGTTTTCCCCACTGAATTGCAAAACCTGTGCAATCAACAAAAAATTGGAGAGGATGGGCTTACACTACAGCTTTTTTGGAGCGCTCAATATTCCACTCCCACTGTGGCCACTTTTCCAGTGCTCAGTGGCCCACTCCAAAACTTGTTTGCTATGCACTTAGCAAAAACTTGGAGCACATCTGTACTGGCCCTTACAGATTCTCTGAAATTCAAACAACCATTTTTATACTTCATGCTGCATGTGATCTTTAACAGAAAAGTAAAATTCAAAATGGATGGACAAATAAGAGAAGAGAAAATAATCCATGGATGTGTCATTGAAAGTTTGAGATGAATGATTTGATTTTTTTCAATTTTTGATTGTGGATTTTTTGACATTCAACATCTTTAATTTCTTTCAACTCAGTTGTTTTCTTTTATAAAATAAACATGATTTGTTTTGTTTTTAATTTATTCAATACTCAATCAATTATCCTCTGCAGTAAAGGATACAAATTGAAAGATGTTTCATGGGAAATTCTCATTGATCCAAGATTGAGCAAATTTCTTGACATCAGTTGCAAGTTCCAATTCTGGGGGAAATTGATTCCAAACTGATTCCCATTTTATATGACCATCCTGTTGCCTGTTTTGGTCTCTCAACAATTTGATCAAGACAAGAATCTCATCACAAACACCATGGTCTGCTAACCTCAAAATTTCTTCCTCCCTGAACTGTACTAGATCAAAAATCTTTCGGTTCACATTTGTTTCTGCTTCAAACTCTTTCCTTGCAAGGCTTGGCATTTCTAAATATTTCCATGTGATTCTTTCGCCTCTTTCAACCAAGCTGTTGAGTTTTTGATCATATTCTTCTTTAAATACTTTCCTCATCCAGGCTCTATCAGCAGATTCACTCCACCCAATATCAGCCTGCCAGTTTGTACCAGAACTGACCATATTGAGGATTTCAATATGTCTGATAACTTTGGATATACTCCACGATTCAATTTTATTTTCCTTTCCCAATCCAAGATAATGGATAAAGTGGAACACATTCCAGACATTGACACCATTATACCTTTCTGCCTCTCTCAGCTCTTCCCAAAGCTCTAAGGATAAGGTCCATTTTGGGGTAAATTTGATGATATCCTCTGCTACTTGGGTCCTCCTATGCCATTCAAAATCCCCTAGTGTCTTTTGAGCAATATCTATAGCAGTATTGTAAGAATCCTTGGGACTTGTTTTTCCTTGGTATTCCTCTGAGGTTTTCACATCTTCCCCAATCCGTTTTTCTGGGAATTCATGGTTAAGTTGGAAACAATCTTCAACTTTATTCAAGAAGCTGAGATTGTGCTCTTTCCGATCAATCAAACTTTGCTTGATCATCTTCCAATTCTCAACACTAGTTTTCTGGACAATTTGATTTGTGAATGTTATGATTCTCCTGTGCATTTCATATTGGCTAATTTCAGGGTGAACCATTGAACATTTTTGAAGTGTAAGGACAATCAGGTCTGGATTTAAGTTCCACAAAAATTTCATTGCAATGTAGTTTTCATTTTTCAATTGGTGCAGGGGAAGATGATTTTGGCTATTTGAGAGTTGAAGATGAGTTGCAAAGAGTTTGAATGCAAGCTGGGAGCATTCATCTTGCAGTGCGGAATTTGTTTTGGCCTGTGAAATCCCTCCTTGCCAAGTTTCATTTTGCAAAAAGTTGACAATATCCTGCAATAAAGGTTGTGACTGATGAACCACATCACTCCACATTCCCTTGATAACCCCCGGGTATATTTCACCAGGATTTGATGGTTGAAAGGGTTGGAAAGCCATCTTTATTCTTGATATGCCTTTCTGTTGCATGATCTGCAATACTTGTCTTTCATCATCAAGGATACGATTGATCAAATCTGAGGCACTTGCAGTTATACCATATTCTCTGGTAATGTGACTGTCGTGCAAGCGCAATTGGGACATTGCCAAATCACCATTGGTCTCTTCTTGATCCACTCCGGCAAAGTGATTTTTGTTTTTTTTCTTGGATGGATTTGAATCAGACTTGGAGGTCGTACTAAAAGTTAAAAATCGAAGTCAGCTTGGTTGTTGAGGAAATAGAAAAGGAACTTGAGCAAACCCGTGGGCCGTACCAACCTTTTCTGGATCTCTATGACATCCTTCTTTAAGGGATGCAGATAATTTTCTTCAGACGCCTGCTTCAAAACAGGAATTTTCTTCTTTCTCCGTTTCTTGCTTTTCCCTGATTTCTGCATTGAATTTTGCGTCACAATGCCTTCCTTATCCCTACGAGAAATCACAGCGTGAGCGCTTTTGCTCGTCAAGTTCATATAACCACACAACGGCCCCCCAGGCTCTACTTACGTTTTTCCAAGCCCATTTTGCAAATCTTCAGCTTCAGTAGGTTTGGTGTGAGCACTGACCTTGGGTACGGTACCGGTGAGGTTTGGTTTCCCGGTTTCATCTTCGGTTCTAAAATTTGAGCTTAATTGGACACGGCTTATATTAATAGACCATGTGGAATGTTCTTCCCCTCTGTCCTCTAAACCTTGGAGGCTATTCTTGCGGAATCCTTGAGTGACTGAAGTGGAGGCCTCTGGTGGGAAGTTTACGAGCGTCGTCGAAGAAAGATCCGTTCCTACCAGAGCAAAGGCTGCCAGGTGCATCAGCACCTCAAGTTTCCCTACTCGCATCGCCAAACAATCCTGAGTACTACTCGAGTACTGTGTTGTTCAAGTTCCTCTGGATCCCAATGCCAAGTAGGGCAAATAACCAACCACACGAGGGAAGGCATACCTTTCATGCGCAAGATACGGTTTCATCAGATAGCCTCTACCTGTAACACGCTCTGTACCACCTCAGATCCATGCCTCTCGATGAGGCTGAACGTGATAAGACGTGATGATGTCCTTTGTCGGGGTGCTGCAGACATACTGGAACTGCGATGAAGCTGATTGACAGAAAAGACAAGATGACTACGGGCAGGGACGGCGCACAGGGGTCCAGGAGCTACATATTTTCTGAGTATACAGCAACAAGGTCACCCCCGTCATGGCCGGCATGAATTGGTCGGACAAGCAGCTTTGACAAAGCATCGTACAGACTGTCCGATCTGCTCCACTTCCTGGAGTCGGACTAAGTGGAGCTAGAACTCATCGGACATAGTCAGTCCGACCACTACTCAGGATGGGATTATGGGCAAAGCTGGTCGGATAGTCGCGTTTCAAGCAGACATTGGCAGTGAGGAGGACTAGCCGGAGGCAATCCGACCGACCAGCCCAAAGAGATTCTAATTTGGCAGCAACGAGGTCATCACTTCGTCGCTACTGATTTGACTGGCGCAGGAAGTGTGCATTCAAATCAGGGTTAAAATTTGAGAGAGTCGAACAAGCATTTTATCTAGAGACAGCTCAAGTTGATCAATCAGAGTATGTATGGATACTAGTTGACGAAAGTTGGGGCTCTACCTAGCAAGAGAAAGTACTCCGTCAGGCGAGATTAAATAATCTATTCTTCGGTCATGGGCCTGAGTGGGTATATATTCTTTTTCCGGCAAAAGTTGTTCTCTGAGACACATACCGACCAGGATCGGCCATCTCCGGGTTGATTTTTCCGATTGCTGTTTTTCCGTCAGGTGATCGGGGTAATTAGTGATTGAAGGTCTGGATGCGACCGAGGGATACGCGTTGAGATATTCGTCGTAGTATCCTTTTCCACGGCCGAGTCGATTCCCGAATCGATCGAAAGCCAAGCCTGCCGAGGTTTTGGTAGTTAGTGGATGGATATGTGATTGGGAAAGCTGTTTTTCCCAATCCTGAACGTTGTCCGTTTTTACTTACCTGGTAGTAAAATCAAGTCTAGTCCCTCGGGGAGAGCTTTTTGTTGCCGTTGGGAATTTTGAATGTAAATTATACGCATGTCCCATCGAAACCCCAAATTTGGAAGGAATGTGAAGAAGCAGCACTAGCTCACCATTTTCAAGACCTGCGATCTTAGCAGGATCGAATTGAAATACTTGTGGAGAAGAGGATGAAGAGGAAAAGGAGACGGGCACTAAGCCAGTTTGGAAGTCGGCCCAACTCTTTAATTCCAACATCTCCATTCGATGTGCGCCAGTCTTTTTCGGATCGGCTGGCTCGGAGGGAGAATGGATGTAGGGCAGAAACAATTTCTTTTCTGTTTGATGCGTGCGTACGGGACAGCATATTTCGGCGGCAAGGATATAGTGGTCAAATTAATCCGTTTGGTTAAAACAGAGCAGAGGGAGAAGAAAGCTTTGTCAGATTCTCCCTCTGTGTCTCATTCCAAGAAGAAGAAAAAAAAGACTTGACTGTTTTCTAGCAAGTTTTTGATAATCGAATCCGTCGGTAATTCGGCTGAGCTCATCGACTTGTAACAACTCACTCGATCTGAATCGACATAATGATTAAAGCTCTTCAAGTGCTTCAAGACTTCCTCGCCTATTCGATTCACGTATAGAAAACAACACCCATTTAACCAGTATTCGCCTCGATCTCGTAGGAAGAGAGGAAAAAAATGGAAATCAAAACAAGCGGGACAAACCCAATACCTTGATGGACCAAGGATTCGGACGTGATTTCCTTAAGGACTTCTTGGACCTGACGACGGATGAGTAGTTTCTGACGGCCCATCGAAGGCGGAGGCTGATAAGCAGTTGATTTTGATTTGCTGCTGGAGTGGGTAGCAGCAGAAGAAGAAAACCAAGCGGCCGATGGCGGATTGGCCATCATAGTTCCCCTGATCTGACAGACTGCCCTGCCCAACATGTTCTCGTCTTCAGACTCTCCCGGCCCGGTTCTCCTCGGCGTTGCAACTTGCAACCAATATAATCCGAGCCGCTTCCGGGGGCCTCCCCGGGGGACGGAACTTCATCGAAGGCAGGGATGCCTTCGCAACTGCAGAATACACTCACTCAAAGTCCTTACTTCATTCTTCTTCCGACATCTCATCACCTACCATCAGCTCCGCCTCCAAATATGGCCAGTAAACCTGCTCATACAACGCCTACGGGACTCCATCTCAATGATTCCAACTGCGAAGATCTCCCCAGGCACCCACGGGCAGATGGCCGAGTGGTCTAAGGCGCTAGTTTTAGGAAAATCCATCGGTTCGGATCTTGAGATCACTAGTCTTCGGGCGTGGGTTCAAATCCCACTCTGCTCATGCTTTTGCTGCTTGTGGTGTGGCTGGGTTGTGTTTTTTTTGCTTTCAAAGAATCGAATTAGTCGTTGGGATTATGATTGTTGTCGTTCTCCATGTGGTTAAAAATTTGGATTGTTTAGAGCTGCTCCGTTGAGCCCATCTGGTCAGGATTCCCTATCAGATCCCGTCATTCTTTTGTCTTCATCTCAGAGATACTACATGGCTGCTATGATTATAAGAAGTTGGGTGAAAGGATCAATCCAGCCGGGATACTTTCATAGTAACACTTTGGGTTGCGAATTTGTATTTCCCATCATTAGAATTACAGTAGCCCTCAGTTTCCTGCACAAGCCCCCAAGGCCTCGTCCAAAATCGCTGCTCAGTTGAGTCAAGGATGAGAGAGGCTCTACAATGGCAAAATTCTCACGATCATGCACACTAGGACAGTGACCGCGATAGAAGTCGCCCCTCCCCATCAGTGGAGGAACGCTCGCATGTAATCCAGGATCTTAGGACGAAGCTCAGGGGAGAAACGAAAGTTGAATTTTAAAGTTTGTTTAAAATAACTGTTCAAGATGATTGTGAAGATTAAGACTAAAATGAGGAGACAAGCAACCAGGGGGATTCAAGGAAATTACTGAGGTAAGGAAACAGTTCAGCTGGAGCTGATAGTATCGCGTTGCATATTCATTATGATGTTGGTAACTTTGAAGAAGATGAGGGAGCGATTGTCAAAGAAAATCATGTCTTGTCTGGATAAAGTGAAGCTAGTCAGAACAATTTTGGTAAACTTGTAAAGATCGGTTGGTCATAGTTTCTATCTTGATGGGATTGATCCAGGTAATCGTGGATTTCCGCTGCGTATGACTAGGACTCCTCTTTACAGCCTTGGCTTGCGAATGTAGCCTCGGTAAGTTGCAATGGAACCATCGAAGTACTTCGCGGCTATAGGGATGGTAGGTAGTTGGGCGTTTTTGGTGAGTCAACAGTCGATCATTCTGATTGGAACTTATTAATAGAAGTGAGAATGAAGAGTAGAATGGCATACGCTGATTCCCAAGTCTCTGGTGCAGCAGACATTGATTAGGGGTTTCGGACTAAACCCGGCATTGTCACAGCTAGCCCCGTCATATTGGCCCTTGTCGTTGTAATGCGGGTCGGCCCTTCTCACTAAAAGAGCCAGAGGGACCAAATGTTTTGAGGTTAGCTGATCGCTGCCGTATCCTGTCTTTCTTCTTTCTGATGGCTATATTATGTGCATGGGGTAAAAAACTGACGAGAATATATCCACCCTTGACGCCAACTAGAGCTCCAATCTTTGACTGCACAGTAGGAATTGTAGGTGTATGGATGATTTGAACTAGCCCAACTTTTCGGCCATTGACTTTTTTTTGTCTTGCTTTCTTTTCCTTTGTTTCTTAAATTTGACCCACACAATTAAAGGGTTAAAAAAGCCCACCAAAAAAAGGAAAGCGTCATATGTGTAAAACACTCGCAAGGTTGGGGATTCCAGGGTTCCTCTGATGTGTGTTGATGTTGTATAATGTGTATACGGATATATATAGATAGATTATAAATGCTTTTTCCAACACCAGTAAAAAAAGTTGACCGCACAAAAACCAAAACCAAAAAACATTCCCTGTATAACTGATAAGAAAAAGCAAGACAAAAAAAGAAAGGATTATTGTTCAAGAAAGTTCAAAAAAAAAGGAAAAGAAATAAACCACTGAGAAGAAAAGGAAGAAAATGAAGAAGATCGACACTTACTGGCGAACACAGACAGACACATCACACATGATCACGGATAACAAAGAAACCAAAGGGCAGAAACTAATACAATGAAACAGAAATGATAAAAATGGAGGAGACAGAGTGATGGGGAGAGAGTATATATCTATGTATGTGTATCAACAACAGGGGGGAGGGGGAGTATAAAAAGATAAAAGAGTTAGGGTGGCAATCAATTCTTGGTGTGGAATTCCTGATGCGGGTAGTCAGCAGAGGATGGAGGCCCGAGAAGGACGCCGGGTTGGGAATCGGCGGAATGTGAGCTTTCCTCGGAATCCACCCGTTTATGACGCGAGGAAGCGGAGGAATGGACGAGAGTGTCAAGGTCAGTGGAGCGCGGGATTCGGCCATCTGAGGGGTGATCGGCGAAAGGAGAAGAGCGATACGGAGGTGAGGATGAAGGGTCGGGGTATTGCGGATCGACTTGGCCAAGCTTGATCTTATAGATCCGAGTAGATACAATTCCAAATAAGTCTTTGTTCCGGTGATAGGCAAGAAAAGGGACGTACGGATTCATAGGCCGGCTCCTCCGCGCACGTCTCGAAGCTTTGACTTTGTTTTTGACCGCCTAGCTTCGAATCCCACACATCATCTAGCCCTCCTTCGTGGTCGGCCCATCCCTTCTGAGTAGTCCCACTCGAGGGCCGGTCGTGGGCTTGGATCCATTCGTGATCTCTGATCCTTGCATGTGCCGGATCCAGACCAAACTAGAAAAACCCGGCAAAAAAAACTCACTGGTGTCAGTACTCCCTTCACTAAACAGATCACTTAACAAAAAAAAAACTTACCGCCGCTTGGAAATCTAAGCCGTTCGCTCCCTGCGGCGTCGCATGTCGTGATTTGGTGTATTCAGCTCCGCGGATTCGGTCGAGCCAGAACCCAAGACCCATCAAGATATCCCTGCCAAAATCCCGATAACTGTGTTTACAACAGAGAAGAAGAAAGAAAAAAAAATGGCATGAAAAGTCAGTGCAAGGATGTTGCTGGGGAGAGTCGAGGGAAAGATTTGTTTACTCTTGGGAGTGCAAGAAATTCTTCCAGACCGATTTCTGGCGATTGGCTTCGGAACCTTTAATGAGTGCGCGATATTCGGTATAAGGACTACAAAAGGCGAGAATTGAAGACGAGAATAAGTTAAGAGAGAGAGAGAGAGAGAGAGAGAGAGAGAGAGAGAGAGAGAGAGAGAGAGAGAGAGAGAGAGAGAGAGAGAGAGAGCAGTCCAAGCGACGGGAGGGACCCAACAAAGCATAGAGTTGAAAAAGGCCGACGATGGCCATTTCAACCGTCGTCGCGAGCGCATTGACACCGTCTGCGATATTAGATCTGGACCAATATTCGGTGGCTTGGAAGAAGCCCAAATGATCGAAGAACGAGAGCAAGAAGCTCTGATAGAACACCAAAAAGACCGCAATCCTATGGATGGACGGAAGATGGCTTCAATCAGTTTGATTCTTTCTTTCAAAGAGGAAAGAGGAGGAGGACGAGAATGGGCCTCAACTTGATCGACATGAACTTGCACGTCGGACGGTGCCCTTGTAAGTCCTCCTTGGCTAGATGCTTGGTGATCAAGAGTCCATAGAGTGCCAGGGTTGCAGAGATAAAAATCAGAATGGTCAACCATAACTACAAAAACGAAAAGGGAAACCAAAATGAGTTTTTCTGGACGCGTCCAAGAAAGAGTTGAGAGGGAAAAGGAATGAAATTGGAGACGGGATTGACATTGGCGAAGTGGGGACTGTAGGAGGAGGCGCAGAAAGCCTTCTGGGTGTCGGTGATCAACGCGGTTGCCGAGATCATCGGTCGCAAGATCACGTACTGGATCGAGCCAAGACGAAGGACATATGTCAGCAGCGAAAAAAAAAAAAAAAAAAATAGAGCTAAGGGAGAGATGCCGACGAACTTGTAAGACGCTCCATTTGGTGGCAACTAGGAAGTATGGTTTAGAGGGCCGATAACTGTAGGGGAAGAAAAAGGGCCGCGTGATGTTAAGGAACACTGAGGATATCAGAAATACAGATCTATTGAGAGGAGGTGGGGGGGAGGGGGACGGACCGGAAGCAACAGAAGGGGAAGACCAGCGGAGTTTTCTCTTTCTGTTTCATGACTTCCTGTTGTTCAAGAGGGGAACGACCGACGTAGAGGAGACAGAGGATCAAGAAGGAGGCCAGGACGAAGGCCTCGTCTAAGATTGGGAACGGTGCAGATAATCCGGCTAGTCAGACGCGCTTTTTCCAGGTATGTATGCGAGTGACCGTCAAGAAAGACTCACATGTATCCCTGTAGTCATGGGTCATAGATTGAGAGCACGAGGGAAGGTCAGTTGGAAGAGTTTATTTTCCTTGTTTTTATTTGGTGAGAGAGAGGGGTTATATATGGAGAATGGAGCGAGACCTGATGATAGCAAAGTAGACGTAATGGCGGTAGTATCGATATGCGAAGAATGAGCTGATGGAGTAGATGGCTGGCATGAGGAGGATGCGGACGATCTGGCGCTGCTCGAGGGGCTTATTATAGTTCTTGCAGTGCAGGCTGTTGGCATTATGTTGTTAGACACATAGGTATTCCGAAGATTAACAACTGAAGGAGGCAAGGAACGGACTATATGTTGGCCAGACTGGCGATGGTGGCGATGGAGGCCATGACACCTGCAGCGGCCTGAGTGGAAGACAGATAATCAGCGGAATGATGATTGGAAGTGGTTGGGATGGAGTAGGCTCACCCAGCCGACGTGGTGCATGTCCCATCCTACGTGGAATCCCTATGATTTTACGGAAAAAAAAAAACTGGATGAGCGTGCTCTGTACTGATTTCTGGGGATGTTGGGACGCACCTCGTGAAAGAACCCATCCCGGTCGACCTCTTCCTTGTTCTCCTCGGGACATTCGTAGGCGTTGACGCAAGCTAGACTGAGGGCCAGGAGGAGGAGGATGGAAGACTGGAGCATCTTTGGAGCTGTTGAGTGTGGTATCATGTTGTGTGGTTAAGTGCTCGGTGAATCTGATGAGATCCAATTGCAGTCTTAATAAATATGTAGAAGGATGTCAAGTGGCTTGATCCAGGGCGTGGTACGAATGATATGGATATCGAATTTTGTTATCTGTTTGGGTCTGTTTGCTTGTACTGTAAGTCGGCATGGTCGGTCATCGTCAGTCTTGCAGTATTTGTGTACAATCCATTTACGAACAAAGCTTACTCTTATATAAACTCAGTATGACTCTGAGGCTCTGAGCCCAAGCAGAAGGAGTTGGTGGTTTCCTGAAGCAACATAAGCATTTACAATTTTTTAGAACCAGAAGGCAGAAGCAGGGAATAAACATTTAAATATGTATGTGAATGGTGGTGAAGTTGGATGGAGGCAGTGCTTGACAGCACTAAGCACTATTGGAAATTGAACGGACAGACTGGGATAGCAGCGCTTCTTCCGATCTCAGCCATTAACATCCATCCATCCAGAAAGAGTTCATCAAGCAATCCATCCCACAATCATCCACTTGTTGATCCTCAGACTAATCGGAGAGAGTCTACATAATTGAAGAGAAGAAGCCTTGAGTACTGCAGGACATGCTTAACTTCAATCATCATGGTGGCAGGGGAGTCCAAGGATAGACATTCGTTTTGATGTGGAACTGTGCACGCCACAGGTACTGCTGTAGAACTGGTGAATCCTTTCATGAGATAAGAAGTGTTACGAAAATTTACATGTTGGTAAAAATGTTGTGGAGGTATACGCTGTTATGTGAATGGAACTCTGAAAAACCTTTCCCCTATCCAGAACAAAAGCGACAAATCTCACTTGTTGATGTTCAACACGGTCCATATCGGTAAGACTTATCACGAGAAATGATCAAAATTAGTTCATTGCTTTCTCTGCTCAAGTTTACCTTCTGCATGATAAACACACCCCAATCAATTCGAGACTAACTGATAATCCCTTGAACAAAAGACATGTTTTGAGGAAGTAATTGCTGTTATGAAAGTTTTAAAATTACGAGTTATTAAATATGGGGAAAAAATGATGATGATGATGATGCTAGTACTTCTTCAAAGTGACACAGAAAATTTTTGAGAGAAATAATTCAAGATGAGAGATAAAAGCAACAACACAAAAAGAGTTGCAAAAAAAAAACAGAACAGAACAAACTCATATTAAGGATAACTCGAGTTGGATCAAAAGGGATTATTAGTTGAAAGATCGAAGAATTGAATATTAAATTAAAATTAGAGCTTATTAAGAAGAATGAATAGATTGATAGGTGAAAGAGATTTTCATTTTTTATAAAAAGTGAAACGAGACCGAGTTTTAGGAGTAGGAGTGACGGGGGTGGTAGGCAGGACGCGATTCCAGTAATAGCGCGGGGGGGAAGAATGAGCCTGGGACTCGGAGGGACTAGTCGAAGAATCAGAAGCAGATCGACTAGTGGAGATGTCGAGAATTGAGAGATCGTTGAATTGCTCAGAGTAGGAGAGCGACGTTGGTTTGCGGAACTCGAAGGGATACAATGGGATCCTCTTGAGGAACGCGACGGTGGCTCTGACAGACGTGAAGGATTCCTCTGCCTCTTCGGAATCTTCCTCCTCTTCCTCCTCTTCCTCATCATCTTCATCATCACTATCGTCAAGATAACCTCCATTGTTTTTGAGGAATATGGACAGGATTTCGTTGTCGGTTGTTTGGGTTTTGCTTCTCGAGACATTGTACTTGTGAACCGCACTGTGAATGTTTGGGGAGCACCAGGAGGGGGACAAAGTATACGCTTTGATGCTCTGGGCCTTCAAGCCCAGATCCATGACAGAGTCTGGAGAGGCAGGCTGGTGGTTCTGGTCGATTGATGCTGGAACTGGACGATGTATTTTTTGGAGCAGTTTTTCGCAGCCTCCGGGATTCGATGAGGAGATTGAACAGTTGATTTTGGAGGGAGAGGATAGACAAGGGGATAAGGCGGCGCGTGAATGGCTTGGAATGTATAATGGTAATGTCGCGTTTGGGTATTGCCCATCTGACGACGCTCGAGTGCGTTCAAGATGGCTGCTCGAGACTCGCCGGGGTCGCTGATGAGCTCGTTGGGTGGCTTGGAGAGTTTTAGACCTCTGGTTTCGTTCGGCTTGGCTGCGTTCTTTTCTAGCGCGAGGAGAGATTCCATTTGGTCTCCCAGATTGAATCCGGCAAGGGATCCTCGTTGGGGCTAGTGGGCCGACTTTAGGGCGCGTTTGTTGTTTTGAACCCGGTGCATTAAGTGGGCGGCGGGGAGTTTCAGCTTGTGGAGCACGAGTGCAGATCGCAAAGCGGACACGGTTGCTCTTTTGAGGCTTTTCATGGTGAGTCGGTAGGGAAAGGCTGCGAATAGGATTGTGGCTGAGGGCAGGACATTTGAGAGAAGAGCGACGCTGGGTTGAGGAGTGAGTGGCAGGCATCTTATATTGAGAAGAGCTTTGCCGTTGGGTATCCAATTAATTCAAGCTGAAAGCTAAGAAACTGCGTAGTGAGAAGGACCAAAATAATCAGGACCAAACCACGGTATGAAACGACCGTGAGTGCTCGAGGTGCTTACAAGTTTTGTTGGCAAATTCTCTGGAGATAGTTATGATTCAGGCGGGATATAGGAATAGAGTTCAGAACTGAAGCGGAATAATTAAACGCGATTATAGTCGAGGTTAAGGCTGGAGGATGCTCTGGCACGAACAGTTATAAGTGTAGAGTAAGGCTTTCTGGATTATGATTAAGTGATGAAGTATCCTGGATTATTAAAGTGAGAAGAATGTGGGATGAGGAAAGAAGACAGGGTGGCCAAGGAAGTCTTCCTTATATAGACCTTCCCTGGCTTGCAAAATGAGGAGGAGAGATAACTCGGCCAGCCAGCTTCATCGGACAGCAAGCCATCTGAGGAATGGTCTGATTGGTCGCGTCTCTCCGGCCTGCTCGGTCCAGTCATCAGTCACTCGGCGGACCTTATCAGAATCGACATCGAAAAAATCCAGCCAGCCTTCTTTTGGCAGTCATTTGAGATTTCGTTTTGAGCTACTTGATATGATTTCTTCAACTGAGTAACTTGATTCTTGCAAGCCTATAATGTACGCCCTAGAGGCTAGTACTTCGACACTTTCAGCCCCCCGCCCCCCCAGGCCGTTCTAAGCACTAGGCATCCAGCCCCCAAGGCCATTCGCCCTAGTGCCTCAAATCAGGAAAAATCGTCTAGCCTTGGTTAGATTCGTAGATGCAGTCAAGCGGCGATGTCCGCTGCGAAGCACTGATCTTCGTAGTCGATTCCAGCCACAAGGAAAAGACATACTATTACAATGGTGAATGGACCGCCGTTGGCCGAGTTTCATCCAACTGTTTGATTGGCGGCTATTGAACCTCCCGAGCTAGGGAAACCTGCCCTCCTATGAAGATTCGCCTAGAACCGGGCCAACTAGTGTTTGACTTTCTACTTTGTGACCCCAGTGAAAATTACATGATTGGATGAAAACCCAGAAGGCGCACCCCGGCATAAGATCACATAGGCTTCGGGCTGTGTGTGAACTCGGGTCGCCCATGGGAGGCCCGGGACCACCTTAGGCTCGGGTGGGTTTGGACATGCATGTGGCTGAAAATCCAAAGGACTAGGACTTCCTATGAAGTTTGAAAACTCAATTCCAAATTTTCTTAAGGAAATGGTGATTGAAATTGAGTGAGATCGAGTTCTCCCCACCACCAAACAAGTTCATGAAAATAGCTTTAAGTTTGGGAAAGCTGGATTATGTATCATCAATAATATGTAGGAAGTTCTCCACTGACCCGACCTGCAACAGCTCATTTAGGAGCCACAGCCCCAGGACCAGGAGAAAGCACCCTGATTTCCTAAGTCACATCAGGACCCAGGAAAGCCCCTATAGAACACAGTATAGAACACAGTAACCAAAAAACCAGGATTTTTGAAAAATTCATACATTTTTTGAGCCCATTCAAACACGTTTCATGCGTAGGTTCAGCACTTTCCATAAAAATTCATAAATTTTTGGTGTGTACCTTCTGCAAAGGGGAGGGGTAAAAGAGGCAAAAAAGGGGGAGAAGCTAACCATAATTTGGTTACTACCTCCCCTTCTTTGGGGAAAAATCCATACATTTGAGGTGAGTACCTTTCTGGTTGAAAACAGCAATTCATACATTTGGGGTGAGTACCTTCTTTGGTTTTTGACCAAAAATTCATACATTTTGGTTACTGTGTTCTATAGGGCCTTTCCTGGGTCCTGTCACATCCACTGGCCCCAGCCCAGAAGTTTAAGTTTGCTGGCATTTGTGATAATCATGATTGATGATATGCCGCATGTCTGCCTTGGAGATGCACTGGTGTCCAAAAGCCTGTTTTTGATATGGGATGTAGGTGGGAGCTGGAGTAGATCTATGTTCCCCTCATTTTTTTGCATTTGGGTTAGGTTTGGCTCCAGATTTCTTCCTCAAGCGGGATACTGTTTTTGACTGTGGCCTTAAGTAGTGATTACAAAATGATGGATTGACGTCTATTCTCTGTTCTAAATCTGAGATAGTTTCAATTGTATATACTGGTTATTGGTGATCAAAAAAGTCAATCTTTCAACTTCACCCACTATCCCCAGCCTTTAGCTTATTTGGGTAAAGCATTACAGCTGAGCCTTGATACATCAATAAATCAAGGATATTCTCAGATTCAACTTCAACCCAGAAATTGATCCAAAATATTCCTAACTGATCAGTTGAAATATTGATAAAAATAATGGGCCAAACTAAACTACAGAAAAGAACAAGACACATATTGACTGGCCTAAGGTCTAACATGTTGTAGAGTAGATCATGTTCTGAATATAATAAAACCTTAGGCTGCATTTGTTGGTGTCAATAAATCAACTGTCACATTTGAGTGTCATAAATGTGGTGACATGTGGAAACTTTTACTGCAAAACTTCAAGACTTCAGCTTTATTCCAAATGCTTATTACACTTGATTATGACACATCAAATGGGGTGGTAGTGTTTTAGACTGGCCCTCAAATTTCCAATAATTCAATGGTTTTTTCCAATCACCTAGTTTTCCATGCATAAACTGTAGCTTTGAGGACTCCTAGATATGTGAATTAAGCTAGCCTCTCCTGATTTTGAATTTAATCTCCAACGACTTGACGAGGGTACATATTGTGTTTCCAAGAAAGCTTGGATTGGTTTGCTTTTTGAGTTTTTTGTAACCCTTTGACTTTGATGTCACAAATCCCATATTTTCATTTTGTCAATCAGGTTTTATCTTGACAGATGTCAGATAACACCCAGGGATAAAACCACCTTTGGAGCCATGTTGCTCCAGTAGGTGCTCTTGGAGGAGAATTAACAAAAAACAAGGTTCATATTCAGAACCAGAGCAGTTTGTAGGTCCAACAAGCCGCTCACCGGGACCGCCAGTCACTCCCTTCTGCCCCATCGGTGGTGCAGACCAAGCACTGGACCGTCACATGAGCTGAGAAGAAAGTTGAAAGCCCTGGGACACCTAAGGCAGAAACATATTTGAAATGAATAAAGCAGAGAAGGTAAATCCATAAATTGCAACAAAAAAAGCAGAATCAAGTCCAAGCACCAGGGGAGCTTTGGGGGCACTCCCCAGGGAGTGCCTTATCTGTAACTTTTCATGTGACTGTGTCTAATGTATAGTATTTCATTAACATAACCAAGTGTGAATGGTTTTTGAAATCAGGTATAAATCATCCAAAACCCAGCTGGTACTCATCTGAAACTCAATTGCAACTAAAATGGGCACATAATACAAATTGGCTACAAAGTTTTGTCATCAAAGTGGAAAGCATTGCTCAAACACTTTTCATACCAGGGGGTTACTTCCAGCTGAATGGGGCCAGAAATGTTCCACCTTCATTTTATGGTTGGACATACTCCTCTTGTGATTGGTGTGTGATATGTCACCGCATTGAGCTTGATTGCAATGCGGCGACATGTCATGCACGTTTCACACCAAAGGGGCACATCCATCTGAAAGGTGTCTGAACTGTGACACCCTCATGAATCTGGTGGACATTCCCCTCTGGTCTCAACAGTGTGTGATATGTCACCCTATTGTACGCGAGTACAATAGGGTGACAAATCATAGGCTGTTCTGAAGAGGAGATGCATGTCCCCTGGGTACACTCAGATGGACATGGCCCTCTGATGTGAAAAGTGTGTGATATGTCACCGCCTTGCGCTCGAGCGCATTGCGGTGACATGTCACGCACGTTTCACACCAAAGGGGCACATCCATCTGAAAGGTGTCTGAACTGTGACACCCTCATGAATCTGGTGGACATTCCCCTCTGGTCTCAACAGTGTGTGATATGTCACCCTATTGTACGCGAGTACAATAGGGTGACAAATCATAGGCTTTTCTGAAGAGGAGGGGCATGTCCCCTGGGTACACTCAGATGGACATGGCCCTCTGATGTGGAAAGTGTGTGATATGTCACCGCCTTGCGCTTGAGCGCATTGCGGTGACATGTCACGCACGTTTCACACAAAAGGGGCAAGTCCATTTGAAAGGTGTCTGAACTGTGACACCCTCATGAATCTGGTGGACATTCCCCTCTGGTCTCAACAGTGTGTGATATGTCACCCTATTGTACACGAGTACAATAGGGTGACAAATCACAGACTGTTCTGAACAGGAGGGGCATGTCCCCTGGGTACACTCAGCTGGACATGGCCCTCTGATGTGAAAAGTGTGTGATATGTCACCGCCTTGCGCTCGAGCGCATTGCGGTGACATGTCACACATGTTTCACACCAAAGGGGCCAGTCCATTCTGAGAAGTGTCTGGAACCTGGTGAC